CCCCCCCCCCTCCTACTTCAATGACCTCCCTTAAGGAACTTTACGCTTAATTTCAAGTAACCCTTCATGCCAAGAAGACAATGCCAGATTTACAATGGTTCCCATGTGTAAAGTTATATCCGTCAATTCTGTATTCTTCATAGTTCAGCGAAAAAAACGCAAAATTTCACAAAATTTTCGATTTTAATAGTTTAATTTGATAGTTGTCAAATCTTTTAATTTCAGGATTGTCCTGTAGTAACCCAGACTTAGTTCAGGTAAGAAGAAAGATTTATTTTAAATCGACTTTTACAAGTTTTCAGGTTTTTATCACTTTAAGGTAAAAACTTAAATTAGTTATTTGTTAGTCAGCAGTTTTCTTACAATCTGTCACTTTTTGGGTTATTCGCCAACTATGCACCAACCTTGTCTTAACCTGTCAACCTTTCCGACTATAAAGGCTTATTTTTGAAGGCTAAAACGAAAGTTTAAAGAAAAATGTTTTAACAACGTCCCCCCCCCCACCCCGACCCCCTTGTTTTTGTGGATTGTACCTACTGGACATTACTTACACAATACAACGATATCTTAAAGCCTAAACGCACTTTTTTCAGAGACACCCTGCATGTCCTATCATTTTAAAATCTGTCCTATACTATTATACTCTGTCCTATCCTATTATACTTTGTCCTATCCTATTATACTCTGTCCTATCCTATTATACTCTGTCCTATCCTATTATACTTTGTCCTATCCTATAATGCTATGTCCTATCATATTATACTCCGTCCTATCCTATTATACTCTGTCCTATCCTATTATACTCTGTCCTATCCTATTATGCTCTGTCATACCCTATCATTATAATATGTCCTTTCATCCTGCATAGTTTGGTTGGATATCAACTGATCCAAAAGTTCCAAACTTTTTTATTGATATTTGGTTTTTATGACAGATTTATACCAAACATAGATTCTTCTAGCTTCATAAGTTTTTATATCATATAAAGTTTACAGGGAGGGGGGAAGAAAGGTGGGGGGGGGGAAGATAAAATAGCAAAAATCCTTGTCATGGAGGTCGATAAGAGACCTTTACTCTAACACAATATAAATGGTATTTTTAACATAAAAATGAATTCTTAAAGGTAAAACAAAAACACCAAGTGGTAAGGCCGGCCGATTTCGATAGTTACTGACTAAGTTTATCCCTCACTCATTTTATCAGAGCTTAATAAAAATGTGAAAATAAATAAAAAAGTTAAAGAAGAAGTCTAAATCGTAATTTGTTAAAATAAAATAAAAACATGCTCCATGATACCTGATATTTTTTAAAAACAAAAAGCTCTTTTTTTAGCAATGATTTCTTTCTTATTATGAAAATATACAAATACAAAAATATTTAAATATAAACATAAATTTTGGTGTATTTGCTGTATCTATGTAATAGATGTGTAAACAATGTAGACAAAAAGATAAATAAGAATGTCACCTACACTCGATGAGTATATTCTAAAAAGGCTAAAAATAATGAGAGATTGGACAAAAGCGAACTTTGGTCAATCTTACCTATTTTCAAGAACTTTCATAGCCAGGTCAGTACAGTACAGTACAGTACAGTACAGTACAGTACAGTACAGTACAGTACAGTACAGTACAGTACAGTACAGTACAGTACAGTACAGTACAGTACAGTACAGTACAGTACAGTACAGTACAGTACAGTACAGTACAGTACAGTACAGTACAGTACAGTACAGTACAGTACAGTACAGTACAGTACAGTACAGTACAGTACAGTACAGTACAGTACAGTACAGTACAGTACAGTACAGTACAGTACAGTACAGTACAGTACAGTACAGTACAGTACAGTACAGTACAGTACAGTACAGTACAGTACAGTACAGTACAGTACAGTACAGTACAGTACAGTACAGTACAGTACAGTACAGTACAGTACAGTACAGTACAGTACAGTACAGTACAGTACAGTACAGTACAGTACAGTACAGTACAGTACAGTACAGTACAGTACAGTACAGTACAGTACAGTACAGTACAGTACAGTACAGTACAGTACAGTACAGTACAGTACAGTACAGTACAGTACAGTACAGTACAGTACAGTACAGTACAGTACAGTACAGTACAGTACAGTACAGTACAGTACAGTACAGTACAGTACAGTACAGTACAGTACAGTACAGTACAGTACAGTNCCCCCTCCCCCAATTCTTCTGTGATATTTGATGAACTGTAAACCTTCGCCCTCTTTTTAAGACCTTCTTTCGTTTGATTACCAGTCATTAATCGTAAATAAGAACATAATAGGATTTAACAATATACAAATAAAGGAATTGAGTCTTTGCCACAAACTCAAATTTTCTAATTTCTATATCTTTGCATTTGCAAGCTTATGAGTGATGTTGTAACCTTTTAACATTTATGATTGAGATTATTTGATATAACATAACTCATATTTTGAAATATCTAAGGTCTACGACATTGTGTTACAAAGATATAGGAATTATAAAAGCAGAGTTTGTCAATAAGACTTAATTCCTTTTTAAAATATTTGAACAATTTTAAGTAAATATTTATTTAACATGGTTTGGTTTGGTTAGAACTTGCATCCTCAAATCAGACTTCAGTATCTGACAGGATATCCTGGACTAGCCTACCCTCACTACCGTGGTGGAGGAGGAGCAGGACATCCTGGAGGAGGAACTCCTGGTCTTCCTCAGCAACAACATCATCAACTTCATCAGAAACAAGATGATCAAGGAGAAACAGTTCTTTCTGCCAATGGTTTAGCCGGTAATATTTCATTTTTAAGGAACTTCAGACGTAACTTTAAGCGACCCTTCAGTCATAGCTTGGCACGTCCGATTCAAAATGGTACCTTTTTTCATCAAATAATAATTTTAGTGACTTGCTGATTTATTTGTGACGGAGACAATGCAGAAAATTGTGAGAATTTAACAATTTCCTTTGATAACAAACATGCCATTCTTTAAATGGTGGGTCCTTTGAAATAATTCAATGATTCTTAATAATTCATTGTTCAACCTTTTGAAAAAGAAAATATTCAAATAGTAAAATTTTAATTAGATTTAAATCTGTATGTGATAAACCTAAAGGGGGGGGGGGTTGCCCTCTTCCCTCTTCGTTTTGAAAACTGAAAAATCTGTTTTCTAAATTGGGTTGGTTTATTGAATCAACAAAGAAGTACGCAATTGAAAAAAAATAAGCTTAACTTCTAAAAAATGAAATTACTCTGTTGCCTGGTTTAGTGTATCCTGGTGGTGATGGATTAGTATGGAGTGGACCTGTATACTATCAGTATACCGGAGAACAGCATACTAAAGACTGTCCTAGAAGCAGAAACCACAGTGGGTTCAACCAGGTACAGTACAGTACAGTACAGTACAGTACAGTACAGTACAGTACAGTACAGTACAGTACAGTACAGTACAGTACAGGATAGTACATTACAGCATCTTCAAAAAGTGTAAAAACCAGGGCAGTAAAGTTTAAGTATAGGACATTACAGCATAGTTTACTGGTATTTTTATATTCACAGTTATATCTATAAATTAAAGTATACTTTTCTGTTTATGTACCCAGGTAAGGTACATATATTGTACTGATCCGTATAAGTACCATATATACTAGTGTACTTGTCTACTGAATATAGTGTACTGGTCCGTATGTTTTGATCCTACTAAAATTATTGAAAATATTATGTATGGATATCAGATATAAGTGTTTACATACACATACATACCGGGTTACGAACAAAGGATAAGACTGTAAAGACGACTTTAAACTCTTCAAATATGACGATTACACGCCAATATGAAGTCTATACATCGTAAATGGCTTTTTTAATAATTAATAAGTTTATAGTTGCAGTAAATAATAATAATGAGAAAACAAACTGTATAAATCCTTAAGTTGTGTGGCTCACCCAGTTTGTATTTAATTTTATATTTTTAGATGTCAAATCATTGTTCCAATACTGAACCCTATATTGTAGAAGATCCTGATTCAAACCAACGGTAATAATTTAATTATTATTTAATCACTCAATTAGTAACTTAGGAATGTCATTTATTCTCAGAAAATTTGGAATTTTTAAGAAAGAAAAATCTTTAATAAAAAAAAACAAAAAAATCTGGATCATGGCTTGAAATAGCAGGTAAAAACCTGTTTTAAGTTATACTTGTAAGTGAGAGCCAAAGTGATTAGCTTTCAGCCTATACCCCCTTTCATTTTTCCTTTACAGTCCCTTTAAGTTATACTTTTAAGTAAGATACAACGATCAGTTCGAAAAAAAATGGCCTTGATCATTTTCAAAGCAAATCAACCGAAAACGTTTTGAAAGTTTTTAAAAAGAATTTGTTTTCTATCTTTGTGTAGGTTAACCTCAACGAATGAACGAGATTACCTAGTTTTTAGCTGAACATTGATTGTTTTCAATTCCGGTTTCCGAATTCATCACTTTTAAAGATACAAACGACGATATTTTTCTTATTAATACCCAGATGAAACTGTTTAAAAGGTACCGGTGTGAATCGGTCTTATCACTTTAAAAACTGAAAATCATTTGTAATTGCGTGTATAATCCCTTTAATCACTTTTAATCGCGTTTATAATCCTTTTAAACATTTGTAATTACGTTTATAATCCCTTTAATCATCAGCAATTGCGTTTTTAATCCCTTAAATCACTTGTAATTGCGTTTATAATCCCTTTAATCACTTTTAATTTCGTTTATAATCCCTTTAATTTCAGGTGTGGATTTCCCCCTGCTTCTGTTTATGCTAATCATTTGTGTGGACCCCCTCCCTATGTCCCACCTCCTAAAGTCAACCAATGGAGTTTAGAGGTGTGATAACATTTTAAACTAGCTTAGGAACTATAGCGCTGCCCAGTTTACTCAGTCCCGCCGAAGACTTAACTCTCTGGAACTTAACTTTCTGAAACGTAATAATATAGAATTATGAAGATAAAACTTTAAAGGAATTAAGTCTTAGCAACAAACTCTGATTTTCTAATCTCAAAATCTTTGTAACCAATTGTGGTAGACCCTAAATATTTCAAACTATGAATAATATTAGATAAAAAAATCAAAGTTTGAACAGTCATAGGTTTACACCATGTTTAAATGTTCAAAAAATTCTACAATAAACTAATTAGCTAGTTGTTTAGGAACAAGTTGAAAAATTAGGAACAACACTTTTCGATTGGTCCTCATTTCTTAAAAGTTTGTTTTATGTGAATCCTTAATTGAAAATCTACATATATGAAAACTACACGGAGAAATTTTAAAACTTTTAATGACCAAAATAAATTTAAAATGAATAAAATATAGTTATTTTGTTGAAAGAGTTAATTTTTATTTTCTCAACCTGTTCCTAAACAACTAAATAGTTTACTGTAGAATTTTCTTCAAAACTTTTTGTCGTCGTTATTTGATAATAAAAAAAATAAAATTTCAAAACGTATCCATCCAAAAAGATTATTTTAAAAGTCGACTCAATAAAAATATGTCTTAAATAAATCCTAATAAATTTTTCCAAAATACTACATATTCAGTTCAACCACCATACATTAAGTTGCATCAATTTTTTAGACTGGGACGACTTTGAAGTGTTTTATTTTTTCTTGAAAACGATCATTATCTTTTCTTTTAAAAATGATCGTTTTAACTTTTGAAAAAAGAAAAACGATCTCTAAATGTTTTCCAGGATGACGAGATGAAGTTTGGACCTTTTTCTGACGGCGAAGCTGAGACAATAAAACGCTTGCCACGTCTCTCTCGACGTGGTGGCCACCCCCATGGGAGAAGTCAACATCCTCATTATGCCACCATGAGCCGACGATTGGAGGGGCGTGATGATCATGTTGGTAGGTTAAGAGGAGGTCCGAGATATAGCTCCCAGCCACAGCTTAATCAGTCAAGGGACAGATCTGATACAGCAATTCCAGGAAATCTCAACAAATATTTTTTAATGTTTTTTTTTTGAAGAAATGTTGAATCCCAAAACGGCTAAACCGAATGAGCCGAAATTTCTTGTAGGATTTAAGATTTGATATGTTTGTTTAAAGAATTATATTTTTTCATTTTCTAAAATTCGGAAAATGAGGAAAAGTTGCGAAATTGTTTTCTCTTTAACACATTACACATTGTTTTATTATTTATACAGAAAAATTGAAAGAGCCAACACGTTTACTAGAAGAAGATTAGAAATGCTAATAAGCAAGATTAAAAGTGACTACTCTCTTTATACATTCCAGTCCTTTCTTCTTTCTGAATAATATTTGCATTAAGTTTAATTCAACGTCAGAAAATAAGCATCATCATCATTTTCCTTTGTAAGAATTTTTAGTAAATAAATACTTTGATGATCATGATTCATGATTAAGTATTTCAGATTTATCAAATTGTATTTTAATTCACATTAAGAACAAAATCTAGCATGTACATCCATGAAAAAGAAATGCAAAAGCAAAAACTGACTTGACTTGTAGGTTATATAGTTTTATGCACAAAAAAAATACTAAAAGCCCATTTCAACTTCTTCCACGGTCAGCTTTAGACTAGTGATAGAACTTTCAAAACGTTTGTAAATTGTCTCGATAAAGAAATTCACCATTTCGATCTACTTATATCTTTGCATATAATTCTTTATAGGACCAGAGCTAGATAACCTACAAACCAATCCAATTTTTGCTTCTGCATTTTTTTTCTTGGATGTACATGTTAGATTTAGTTCTCAATGTGAATTAACCAATATTTGGTCAAGAAAACGCATCAAATAAGATTTTTTTTTTATAATTTGATGAGTCCAAAAGACCTAATATTTAAGTACTTGCCAAAAAAAATGAGCAGCAAAGGGGCTGTTGTTTAAATTTCATGTGACCCTCTATTTCAAGAAAGGTAAATAAATTAAACCAACGCATTTACGCATTTATAGAAATGGAGCTGTCTTGGGCAGACCGCCTAGTATAAGTCTTCTCCCTATGGTGACCAGTTCGGTTAGCCCATGGATACGTTTCGGCGGCTAGGAGCGCCGACCCCTATTTCATTGAATGATGGGTTGTCCTTTAATAATGAAAAAAGAAACAAGCTTGTTTAAGGTATAAAAACAACATTATTAGATGTAGAATACTTTTGTGAATATGGTATATCCCTCGTCAGATGAAGGGTTACTTGAAATCAATACTGAAAAATTTTATCTAGAAATAAAAAATTGAGAAAAAAAATTATTCAAAAATTTTTATTTGGGAAATGGGTTAAATCATAAGCAACTTTTATAATACTTATAAATGAGCTTAATTATGCCCTAAAAACAGCTATTTTGACATTTTTAGCTTAAATACCAATATTTTGAGATAAAATATGAGCAGGGATTCTGTCCCCCTTCTCAATGAAAACTTCAATCACACTTCCTCGTCGCCTGGATTCTAAACTTTCAAATGGTAGGTTTAGTGTTTTCATTTTTACTCTTTAATATCCCGATTAGGATATTTTTGGGGGGGTTAGAACCCTCCCCCCTAATCTTTTACCCTTAAGAGTTGAGATAGGGGAGTGTAATACATGTCCCTAGTCCAACTTTTCAAGGCCTGTTTATTAACAAAAAATAAGACCTCAATCTTTCATGGTTAGGTTGCAAGGGAGGATTTTTAAAAAAGAAAAAAAAAGAAATGAAATCAGATCATGTCAAGTATTTTTTTTCTTCTCAGGTTTGCAAATATGATTTGGTTTGATGATGACTCTTTCTTAGATTTAAATGTATAAAACTGGTCCGGGAACGAGTTAAATACCGTTTTAAATTTGAATCACCGATTCAAATTCTTCCTGAATCTTAAACTTGAAATCGATGGTTCAAATTTGTTGCGGGAGTAGGTAGTTTACCGACGCATCGCAAATTCATTAATTTTGGTCCCTGATTTGACTCTTATATTGATTGCTATAATTTTGGGGAAAGAAAGTGGGGTGGCGAGATTCCAGCCCACCTTTGTTTCATTTCCCCAAGAGTGGAGAAAGGAGATTATGATACATATGTTCCCCTTTTCTTGATTATAAGGTATAACAAGTCAAAAGAAAAACACAGAAGATGATATGTAACTCGAAAAATGGATTAATTTTAGGTTATCCAGACCTAGCTCGACACCCCCTCTCCTACTCTTCTGTACCTCCAACCTTCTCTACACTACCTGTACCTAATCCATACTCCTCCTCCTCCCCCCAACCCTACTCATCAACTCCAGAACCATACAATCCACAACCCTTCAATACTACAACCAACAACTCTGTACAGATAGAACGGACGCAAAGTTTAGACTCAGAATATCATCCATCTAGGTACAATACCAATATTGGCAAGTTTTCATTTTTTGTGCAAAAATATCTTTTTAAAAGATGCTGTTTAAACAAACATTCAACACTGAAATATTAAAAAACAAATATTTATTGATATTACAAAAAATAATTATTAGGTACACATATTTTAGCAATGTATAACAATGTATGGTTTAAAAGAAATAAATGTTTGGCAACAAACTCTAATTTTTTAATCCCTATATATTTGCAACCCTGCAGTGTCGTAGATCTTTGTCATAACGAACTATATAGGAATGATGTTAGATCAAGTGCTCTAAGTTTAGAATATTTAAGGTTTAAGCCATTTGGTTGCAAATATATTGGGATTAGAAAATATATTGGGATTAGAAAATATATTGGGATTAGAAACTTTTCGTTTGTGGCAAGAACACAGTTCCTTTGCAGCATAATATCTAAGGCGTGCGAAATATAGAAATTAGAAAATCAGAGAAAATTCACAGTAACAGTATCTTTTGAAAAAGGATTTATTTTATGTGAACCCCCGAAAATCATAGTTCATGGTTTTTACCAGCATTCTCTATCAATTTTGTATAGGATATTAAACCTGAATGGAGAGTTCATATATTGGCATCAAATATTGGATATCTCTCGCTCTTTCTCTTTATATTAGAATTTCAAAACCAATTTTTATCAAATGGATGAAAACTTTAACCCTTTTTCCGGCTGAGCTTTTTTGTTCAATAAACGAGAGAATGTTCCATTAAACCTCCGTCTATGTACGAAGCCGTCGAAATCGAATTCTTACTTTAATTTAAGTTGTATTTTCCTCATTTTTAGGAATTTTTTAAAATCAGTTAAAAATTCAAACAACTAAAATATGAACATATGATCACTTACGTTAAAAATGTAAACTCTATTTATTTAAATATCAGCATGCAGTAAATGTTTTTATTACATATTTAAATTCTCTTAAGATACTCTCGAAGGCGAATCTCTGGTTGCAAAGATAAGAAAATAGAAAATTTTGATTTGTGACAAAAAAAAACTCATTTGTTACTCCAACATTATATTATGAACAAAAATTAGAATTTATAACAGTAAATTTTGTTATGAAACCATGGGGTTGCGGAAAATTGGATAGAGCTGGATAGGGTTAACATTAACCTTTTATTTTCAGGTCTTCCTCTGTAGGGGAAATAGACCTTGGAGACAAAGGCTCCAACCCTCCTGGATCCTGGAGAATTAGGACAAATGAAAACCAATGGGACGGAGAACTTGAATATCAAAATTGGAACAATTCTCAGATTCCTCAATTGTCAAGAATTAACGGCCATGGACGAAACCAATCCTGGGATCCTGACTCCGGCTGGCCGGAGGTGAAAGGCGAGGAATGGCTGGAGAACAGGAATCAAAATGGCCGCCGCGAGTCTTCCACGTGGCAAGATGGCCGTTGTGAGCCTTCCACGCGGCAAGAAAATCGGATTTCCCAGTCCCATTGGGTTGATGGCGATGGACAGGATTGGATTGAGCATGAGGATAGGACTGAATCCTGTAGGAATACACTACAGAGGTCGGGCAACCTTAAACGACCTCGATCTGGGGCTGTTAAGGTAAATACTTTTACAAACTTAAATCAATAAATAATCGTTCCAAACTCCAATTTTTTAATTCCTAAATCTTTAAAACATCTGCTAGTAAAAACCTATTATTTTTCAAATTTATTATTTAAAGGTTAATCTATCCTGGGCAGATACAAGTATATTGTTGTTTAGGTTTATCTTTCCTGGGCGGATAAAAGTATATTATTGTTTAGGTTTATCTATCCTGGGCGGATACAAGTATACTATTGTTTAGGTTTATCTATTCTGGGCGGATACAAGTATATGATTGTTTAGGTTTATCCATCCTGGGTGGATGCAAGTATGTTATTGTTTTGTTTTATCTACCCTTGGCGGATAAAAGTATATTGTTGTTTAGGTTTATCTATCCTAAGCGGATAAAAGTATATTATTGTTTGTTGACCTATCCTGGGTGGATACAAGTATATTCTTGTTCAGGTTTATTTATCCAGGGCGGATAAAAGTATATTGTTGTTTAGGTTTATTTATCCTGGGCGGATACAAGAATATTATTGTTTAGGTTGACCTATCCTGGGCGGATACAAGAATATTATTGTTTAGGTTGACCTATCCTGGGCGGATAAAAGTATATTATTGTTTAGGTTGACCTATCCTGGGCGGATACAAGTATATTCTTGTTTAGGTTTATCTATCCTGGGCNAAATGATAAACAGACATCTGGCATCTCTGGCGCGTTAGATGAAGATTCACCGTATACTAACTCATGTTTGTTTACATTAGATCGGCTGCCTTTATTATTATTGTTACGTAAAAACTAGTTCTTCAGCAGTCCAAAAACGTCACAGCAAAGTGTACGGAAACCCCATCGCCCCCTCCTTCTATTCAATTCTCCTTGGTTGATTCCAAGGTTAAAATAAGTCTGCTGCTTTGAAAAGATATTTTATAATTGGCATACTAATTGATTTGCAAAAGAACGAAACAAGTTGCAGGGAATCATGAATATAGACAGCATGAATTCCGTCGTCTTTGAAGTCTCCTTGTTTGTGGATAACCCTGTATATTAAGATTTTTAATGTAAAAATATCGAAATACGTAAATTTTAGCTCTGGCCACAAAATCAATTTTCCTAATCTTTGCAACCTTACGTTATGATATATTGATATTTCAAGGCTATTTTCACATTTTATCATATTACAAATTCAAAATTATAAATATCAAAGGTCTACATAATTGGGTTGCAAAGACAAAGCGATTACATATCGGACTTTGTGGCTGAAATTCATGTTTATTTTAAAAGTAAATGATTCTCTGATTTTCTAATCCCTATCTCATTGAAACCCAACGTAAAAGACATTAGTTATTTCAATCTATGAATTCTGATGGATCAAATAATCTAAGCTTGAAATATCGGGTTGCAAAGTTATGCGGATTAGAAAATAAAGATTCTATTGCTTACCTAAGTAATCTTTGTATAAAGTGCTGATGAGCCAATGATGAATGGAGGAGGAGGATCGTCTGTGAAAAAATCCTCAAGCACAAAAAATCGACGAAAATCTGCGGATCGGACAAGTCGAGCTCGATCTACCAGCTCGGATCGAACTGCTCGAACTCCTTGTCGTAAACCCGGTGTCTCCCCCGGAGGCCGTAAACAAGTTGTGTTTGCTGGTTTAGAGGACAACTCATCAACCTCCTCCGAGGATAAAAACTCTAAAGAAAGCTTGAACAGTGAGAATGAGGTTTGGGTAAAAAGATCTGATAAGTCAGGTTTAGATGATGATGATGATGATATCCCTGTGACAGGAGTAGTTATTGCTAAACCATCTGCTTGTCAGTTCTATCAGAATGCACAAAAATAATAAAAAAAAATATAGAAGTTTTCAATAATTGGTGATCAGCTGAACAATAAAGATAAAATCAGTTCAAAACTAAATAAAATCTACGAAAAAAAGGTTGGATCAATGGATACCAAGGTGATTTATATTGTTACATCTTTATTGACAGCAGTTTCGTGCTTTTGCAGATCTGTAATTACAGTCATGAATAGCTGATGATGAAAAAATTTAAATTCTTTTTCTTAAAAGTGAACATTTTTAAAAAGTTGTTAATTATTGTTGTAAACTTTATTGATAAACTGTATAAAATCGTTTAATAAGTATTTCTTGTATAACTTTTAAGTAGTAGATTAATTTAAACTTTAAATTGATTAAATTCTTGTTGATATTTGTTGAAAGTTAGGGAACTTTTAATTTGTAAAGGATCTTGCTAGCAGCTTCGAGGGGAAAGGACCAAATACCTGAGCTGGAAGCAGTGACGGAGAAAGGTGACTCAGGAACTGGCCAGATGAAGTCTAGGGTGAGGGATTTCAGTTGAGAGAAACCATGTTCTGAGATATCAGCGTAGCGTTCTCTCAGCTTAGGAGCTGAGGAGAGGACTTCGGGGAATACTGCTTTCCTGAGGGTTTCGGCGATTGCCGAAATGAGGATTCTGTTGGCAGGAAAAGAGCTGTCGTCTTCTAAATCTTTCCCTAGTAAGATTGCAGGAGTGAAGGGGCAACCCCAGTTCTTGTTCAAAGGGGGGCCTGAGCTTAAGGGGGCGAAAGGGATGTCTACGGCGAGCACTTTTAAACCAGGGAAGGCAGGGTTTGAGGCTGCTGGATAATGAGCTAGAAGGTCATCTTTCGAGAACGGGTAAAGGGTAATCCAAAGGTTGAGGAAGGTTCCACTGATGGGGGCCAGGTGGGCCCTTAAACAAAACCCTTTGCAGTTGTAGGACGCCAGGGAGTCTGAGGCTAGAATGGAACCGTTTTGAGAGAAACTGAAAGTACAGGCTGAGGAGTCCAGGTAGTCGGAGTAGAGGTTACCATTCTGGAAGGTAAAGATATTAGCGTTAGGGATGGTGATCGTGAGAGAAGTAGGGGCGGAAAAGGTCCAAGTTTTTGTGACGAACACTCGTTTCTCCTTGAAGAGAGAGCCTAACAGGAACAAGGAGCTGGAGGTCACTCGGAGATTGTCTGGGGACAACCTCAGTCCCAACATGGCTACTATTTCTCCGCTCCAGTTGATATCTTGTAATAGGGTTTCTGCAGGATTACCAAAACCGTCTACCGAGAGGTTCTCGATATCGTTAGCGCTCAGGGCTGAAGTGCCTGAGAAACCCTGGCCCGTGATAGTTTGAGTCTTCTTTTTCTTGCTCATACTGAAAAATTTAAAATTAGGTGGGCAAAGAAGTTTAAATTAATTCGAAATTTCTGTAATAGTAAAGCTTGAAATAATATTTTAAAGTTGAAAGTGAAAAATTTAAAAATATTTTCCTCTATTAAAATTTGATTTTCATTAAATTTTTTTTTTTTTGAAATTGAAAATCCGCGAAATTTTGTGAAATCCGCGAATTATTTTGATTTGTTTTTCGATGTACACAAAGAGAACATGTTCACAAATAATTTAGAAGATCGGCGCGAAGCGCCTTCTAGAGCTAGTTAAATCAAATAATTCTGTATTAGTAACGCTTAAAAAGAAAATATTTTAAAGTTAAAAGTGATAGTTGACGTAAAAATTGAATAAGTATTAATAGTGATAGTTGAAATAATAATATGAATAAGTATTAAAAGTGGTAGTTGAAAGCAATGAAAAGTATTTTATAGGGTGGAAAATAAAGTGTAAAGTGTAAAGTGTATGAACAAGGTTAACTTAACTGTAGGTATAGAGTAGTTGTAACGAGAAACTAGGGTTGAAGACTGATGCCGGCACAAGCTAGCCTAGGAGAGGTAGGCGAGGGGGCAGGCCGCGCCAAGACAGCCGGTAAAGACCCCTGCCCCGGCCTAGAGGCGCGCCGAACCGCACCATACTCCACAGCTGACAGGGGCATAGCAACGCTACACTACATCTAACGGTCGGGATCACAAGCTCCCCCTAGGCCCTTAAATGGAAAAAATAAATGTTGCATATACTAAATGTTACCTTTACTTAATGTTACCAGTACTAATGTTACCTATACTAAATGTTACCTAAACGAAATGTTACCTATATGAAATGCTATCCTTACAAGATGTAACTTATAATAATTGTTACCTAAGCGAAATGATACCTTTACGAATTGTTGCTGTTACTAAATGTTAGCCATACTAAATATTACCTATACTAAATGTTATTGGTACTAAATGTTACCTATAATACTAAATAATACCTATACTAAATAATACCTACACTAAATGATATCTATACTAACTGTTACCTTTACTAAATGTTATTTATACTGTATGTTACCTTTACTAAATGTTATATATACTAAATGTTACCTATACAAAATGTTATCCATACTAAGTGTTACCTATACTAAATGTTACCTTTACTAAAAGTTATCTATACTAAATATTACCTTTAATAAAGGTTACCTTTACTGAATGTTACCTTTACTAAATGTTAAATCGATAATTACAGGAAACAATTAAGAAGATACTACGTTGGGCTTGCAATTGCATTAAACTATAATTGTCTAATTCCTTCATTTATGAAACCTTTGAAATTTTAAACTTTAAATTGTTGATCTCACAACGTTAATAACTTTGAAATATAAAAGACATTGCAGGTTGCAAAAAGACGATGATTTACATTCATTAGAGTTTGAGGTAAGGCACATTTGTCTGAAGTACACTTACCGCGTATACAATAACCTATTCTGACTATTTCATATACAAATGGAGTACCCATTTGCAAAGCATGGATAATCATATTGTAGGGCGAACCGCGTCAATTGTATCTCCCTTCTATTCCTTACTCCCTGGTTTGAGGCGAAAGCAATAGGTTGTTTTTAATATTCTTTATGCTTAGGTAATCGTGTGGAAGGTAGCCTACGGGGGTATGCTTACAACAGCAATATCAGCAAATCTGATCGTTCTTTGGATAATTTTAGGCAAGTAAAGAGAAATATGAAAAAAAGATAAAATTGTGGGTAAATTTAAGGAAGCAAATAGCCCTTGGTTGGATTTATTTAAAATTTTCTGTGAAATTTGGAATTCACATGACAAGTATTAGAAAGTCTGTCCAAGAAGTATCTAAGAGTAAATTATGCGTTTTACTGTTACTAGTGATCTGTCTTCACTTAATTCAATTTTGGGTATTTCTTTGTTTTTATTTCCTTTCAAGGTTAAAATGTAACATAGTTAAAAGAAGTAAATGAATCTTAAATTGTTTATTCTAAACATGTGTTTTACTTAACCCTATTCCCGCTGGGGGGGGGTCAATTTGACCCCCCCCTAAAGAGAAAAAGTCTGTGGATCCAAGGGGAAAGAGAAAAGGTGTGTGGATCCAAGGGGAAAAAGAAAAGGTGTGTGGATCCAAGGGAACAGAAAAAGGTGTGTGGATCCAAAGGAGAAAGATAAAAGGTGTTTGGATCCAAGGGAAAAGATAAAAGGTGTGTGGATCCATGGGGAAAGAGAAAAGGTGTGTGAATCCAATTGGGAAGAGCAAAGTGTGTGGATCCAAGGGGGAAGAACAAAGATGTGTGGATCCATGGGGAAAGAGAAAAGGTGTGTGGATCCAATTGGGAAGAGCAAAGTGTGTGGATCCAAGGGGGAAGAAAAAAGGTGTGTGGATCCATGGGGAAAAAGAAAAGGTGTGAGGATCCAAGTGGGAAAGAGAAAAGGTGTGTGGATCCAATTTGGAAGAGCAAAGGTGTGTGGATCCAAGTGGAAAAAGAAAAGGTGTGTGGATCCAAGTGGAAAAAGAAAAGGTGTGAGGATCCAATGGGGAAGCAAAAAGGTGTGTGGAACCAAGTGGAAAAAGAAAAGGTGTGTGGATCCACGTGGAAAAAGAAAAGGTGTCTGGATCCAAGGGGATAGGGAGCTGGAATATTGATCCAAATGTGAATATTTTGTGTACTGGTACCAAGTTAAAAGGAATTGGGATTCAAAAAGGAAAAAGAAAAAAGGGATTTTTGTTCAATCAATCAATAATTTTAGCTCTGTTATATACTTCTCTTATTTCTCCTCCCTTCTTATTCAGACCCCTAATATAATACAATTAATTAACTGATTAATGATAATAATCAAAATTAACTTGAGAAGTTGAACAAGTTGGTGAATATTATTATAATAGGCTATACAGAGCCCATCTTCTATCTCAACTTTTAATTGTTCTCTTTCATTAAACAATAATAACAAATTTGCGGATTTACAATTTTTTATTTTGCATTTTCTAAAAATTTTTAGAAACAATTTATTAATTCTGAGCATCCATTTACTATATACCCGATATAAGAGTCAGGTATGATAGGAACATAATCAAAAATCTTTAAATTTGGCGGGAAAAAAGGGAAAATTTTCCTGGAAAAAAATTCGAAATTTCGCAAAAAAATACCCGTAAGATAGTCTTTAGACACAGTATATCTAGATAGGGTTTGAGAAGATATAACAGTGCCGCGCATACCACCTAGCAGGGTTCACATACATTTCACATTCGGACATAATTTTATCTTTTACAACAAAATATGCAATAGTATTTAGTATCTTTAGTTGTGCTAGTTATGCTTCCTACCTACTTCCTACCTACCTGACTCTTATATCGGGTCTATGGTACATGGAAATGAAATAAGGGTTCAGTTAAGCATTTTGTTTAGTTTTTTTATTTCTATTTACTTCGTTATCAGCAATAATAGTTGCAACAATCTATATCATCAATAAATTTCTTTTCTCTTTTCTCCGTTCTTACTTTCCTGCAATTAGTTCCCTCCCCCCATTCCTCCCCACTCCATCTAACCCCCTCTCCAATCAGAAATATAAATTGTTCTCATATACAGGGGGAATTCATTAATCTTTTCCAACATAGAGCCCTATGCCTTCATTGGACACATTCAACAATTCATATTGGATTTTTTGGGAAATAATTTGCATGTTTTAGCGTTTCTAAATCCTTTTTAAACTCCAAAAATCTTAATAATTCGGCAAAGTTGTAATTTCTTAGACTTGGTAAAGGCATTTAACAAAATGTTATTTTTATGCTAGCTTTTGCCTCTACAATTTGAATGATAAAGAAAATTAAGTTTTATTAGAATTTTGTGGACTTAAAAGAACGCGATTTAACTGATACTTTTATGATCCGGGCAGTTTTTTACTGTATTGTAACCTCAAATTTCAATTAATTCTTATTTTTCAACGAATATTTATTTTTAACATTGACTAATGATAAAAAATTAGGGCTATGAACGTACAATTCAACCCTATACCTTGACTGTCAGGGGTTTCACTAGAAATGGGGAGGGGGGTTAAAACGGCAAATATTAACAAATATGTTGTTATTGAGTTTTAGAAGTGCAGAGAAAATGTTTGAGTAAATAAATTTTAAATGTTCTACTTTAAAAAGAACCTTTATATATCGGATACTTCTAAACGTTTACTACAAATTGTTTATCTATGTCTAAACTCTAGAAAATTCTTGTTGAAAAACAACGCAACATCTGAATATCTTAAAGGTTTTACAATTGATGCAGAATGGTTCTGACTTTACTGAAAACACAGGTTTATACAATGTATGTAAACAGAAATATTAAAATTCTACAGTTTTAGAATTTGTTATATTTGATGTTAGACCTGCATTTTATGCACAGTAGTAAACTAAATTTAAATTCAGAATTCAGCCTGGTATTTTATATTCAGATTTTCTGTCACCTTTTCAGGCTTTGCATTAACTTTAGTTTAGTTTCCGAATTTACTCGACCATACTGGTACAACTTTGTGACCTAGTTTGGATTTTACCGACAAGTATGAGAAAAGATAATGTATTTGTTTGCAAATTAAAAATTTTAAAAAATTGTTCTGTTCCATAGCTCTTTAATAGGAGGAGTAAGGACTTAAAACATATAAGATTTTAATATTACAAGCAATTTAATTTAGTTTGACGTAGGGTAGGATCAATTTCGATTTATAATATTGCCCTGTAGCATGAAATTATGAATTTGGTTCATTTTATGATTTAACAAAATATATTTACAAACAAAGCTAAGAATAAAAATTATTCAATGTATACAACTTCGTAATTTCTGGTTCCGGAGAGGCCAGCTGGAATAGGGTCAATAAAACATTCATTTAATAAAAAACTGTAAATCTGTAATGAATATGTGTAAAAATATATCTGTAAACGTCGATAACGTCGATAACTTTAACTTGTAACAAAGAACCACAAATACAATTAGTTGGAATAGACTCTGCACTGATTACAGTGAGAGAGTAATTGTTCCTTGTTTAGCAAACGAGAAGCGTCCTGAATCACGTTCTTGAAAGATGGATATAGATTGGGAATTGGTGTCTGGATAGAGATTGATAGTAAGGGATTGGTTCAGATAAATTGTGTCTGGATTTACATTAATAGTAAAGCATTGGTTCAGATAAATTGTGTCTGGATTTACATTAATAGTAAAGCATTGGTTCAGATAAATTGTGTCCGGATTGACATTGATAGTAAGGAATTGGTTCAGATAAATTCTGTCCGGATTGACATTGATAGTAAAGCATTGGTTCAGATAAATTGTGTCTGAATTTAGATTAATAGTAAAGCATTGGTTCAGATATATTGTGTCTGGATTGACATTAATAGTAAAGCATTTGTTCAAATAAATTGTGTCTGGATTGACATTGATAGTAAAGCATTGATTCAGGTAAATTGTGTCCGGATTGACATTAAAAGTAAAGCATTGGTTCAGATAAATTGTGTCTGGATTGACATTAATAGTAAAGCATTGGTTCAGATAAATTGTGTCTGGATTAACATTGATAGTAAAGCATTGATTCAGGTAAATTCTGTCTGGATTGACATTGATAGTAAAGCATTGGTTCAGATAAATTGTGTCCGGATTGACATTGATAGTAAGGCATTAGTTCAAATAAATTGTGTCCGGATTGACATTGATAGTAAGGCATTGGTTCAGATAAA